ATAACAATAGAAGTGTCTCACTACGACATCACAATAGCTGCAATTCATTCCCCTATGGGTCCGCCACAATAGCCTGGCCAAATGGAATCTGTCTAAACCATTGAATTACAGTAGCAGCCTGCGAGGGCCATGATTCTTCAGTAATGGCCTGTGTGTGTGTGTGTGTGTGCACGCATGCATGTGTGTGCCTATTAGTGTCTTTTCCAGGAAAACAACCAGGTAAACTTGTGTGTGGCGTAACCCAGCCAAGAGCTCATCCAGTACTGTATATCACCTGACCACTTTACAGCCAGTCAGTTCCAGTGTTGCTGTAATTGTCTCCTAAGCCTCTTAAGTGGCAGCAGCTTCTCCAGCAGCAGTGGTGTCGTATGGCCTGGATAAACAACACACACCAGCACAGCACAGAGTGTACTGCATGCTACGGTAGTCTGCTGCATGCTTACTGTCTATGATGAGGAGGACACAGTCTGGTGTGTGTACAGTATGTAACATTACACCTGCTCAGCACAGGACAGGTTCAGTGGGTTAATGAGGGTCTCGTCTGGCACAAATACACTGATCCACAGGAGACCAGGGAACAGGGCTCCCAGGGAGGCTCAGGTTCCAGAGAGCAGGAGTGCCAGACACAACCAACACCCCGACCACCCGCAAAACAACCTGAACCTGACACTCCGGGAGCTGAGCTCAGCTGAGGGAGAACACTGACACACAGGCTCACAGACAGACACATACATGCACACACACACACTGCAGAGGGACATCAATAACAGGGTGTGTGTGTGTGTGTGGACACAGACAACACTCTAAGCAGCCTATGTCCAAACAATTTACACGGGGATGAAAATCGACCACTGCTGTGGGTACTCTGCTGTGTGTGTCTAGACATAAGATTTTAGCTAAGTACATATAAATGTGTTTATCGGGGTGTGCATCCATGAGTGTGTGTGTGTTTATAAGTGTAAGTGTCCTGGTACATGTATTGTATTTGTGTGTGTTTTTGAGTAAGTGTGTGAGAGTATTATATGAGCGAGTGAGTCAGTCAGACAGACTGGCTCGGCAGTCTCAAATGGAGGTCGCTATTGAACGTTTTCAACGCTGTAGGAGCTGTGTTTATTTTACTTTGTTCCGGGACAATGTGGACCGCCCGTACTTTCAATGTAGCAACTGTTTGCTTGCAGAGGACTACAGGGGTGAAGTGGCTTCTCTTAGCAAACAAGTAGCGAACCTACACAAGCTACTGGGGAATCCGCGCCCGCCTACTTTTTCTTTTTCTTCTACCCCAGTAGCCGGACGCCGCTTTGGTCTGTTGGAAGTGTTGCCAACGTGTCGGTTCTCCACAACCGACTGGCCAGTACTCTGCAGGGATCCCTCCCTGAAGGGGTCTCCCCCTTCCCCGGAGAACGTAGCTAGTAGGATGCTCCTGGATGACTTGAGGGATGTTCCTGTTCTCGACCCAACCAAACAGCCATGGAGATATGTCACTTGCCGTGGAAGTCGAAGAAAATGTCCTCTGGCAACGGGGGCCTCCTTGGAGATGTTAAGCCCGGACCGGACACAGACCATAAACGGCTTTGCCGCCCTGGATCCAGAGGTTCCGGCGCCTTCTTCCCTAGGGGCTTCCGATTCGAGATCGGATCCGGAGGTACCTACGCCTTCGTCCTCTTTTCTGTCTCCCTCTCCGGTGGCGTCAGATCCTCAGAGCTCCCACCCTCAACAGACGATGTTGATACTACAGCCAGCTCGGGTCCATTGGGCCCCAACACTCTTCGGTCCACGAGGGGTTTGCGAAACCACTCGAGGCGAAAGAACGGCCAGACTTCCTCAGCCATTGCACCAGCTGTCGTTGTCAGCAGCTCTATTGTAAGAAACATCTTGGTTCCCGGGGCAAAAACCCTGTGCTACTCAGGAGAACGAGTACAGGATATTAAAAGGCTGCTTCCGACCGTTCTACGACAGATGCCAGGAGCTGACTCTGTCGTAGTCCATGTGGGGTCAAATGATATCAGGAGGGCTAGCTCGGAACTTCTGAAAATTGTTTTTAAAAGAACTGATTCTAGCACTGAAAGATTCAAAAAAGCGCCCAATCATTTCAGGTCCGGTACCATCGTTGGGGCGCGGGTGTGAAAGACTCAATTGAGCTCAGGTGCATCCTGTTTCCATTGATCATCCATGAGATGTTTTTACAACTTGATTGGAGTCCACCTGTGGTAAATTCAATTGATTGGACATGATTTGGAAAGGCACACACCTGTCTATATAAGGTCCCACAGTTGACAGTGCATGTCAGAGCAAACACCAAGCCATGAGGTCGAAATAATTGTCTATAGAGCTCCGAGACAGGATTGTGTCGAGGCACAGATCTGGGGAAGGGTACCAAAAATTAGGTTGTGGCAGTATCATGCTGTGGGGATGTTTTTCAGCGGCAGGGACTGAGAGACTAGTCAGGATCAAGGGAAAGATGAACGGGGCAAAGTACAGAGAGATCCTTGATGAAAACCTTATCCAGAGTGCTCAGGACCTCAGACTGGGGCGAAGGTTTACCTTCCAACAGGACAACGACCCTAAGCACACAGCCAAGACAACGCAGGAGTGGCTTCAGGACAAGTCTCTGAATGTCCTTGAGTGGCCCAGCCAGAGCCCGGACTTGAACCTGATCAAACATCTCTGGAGAGACCTGAAAATAGCTGTGCAGTGACGCACCCCATCCAACCTGACAGAGCTTGAGAGGATCTGCAGAGAAACTCCCCAAATACAGGAGTGCCAAGCTTGTAGTGTCATACCCAAGAAGACTTGAGGCTATAATCGCTGCCAAAGGTGCTTCAACAAAGTACTGAGTGAAGGGTCTGAATACTTATGTAAATGCGATATTTACGTTTTTTTTTTTATATACATTTGCAAAAATGTAAAAAATAACAGTTTTTGCTTTGTCATTATGGGGTATTGTGTGTAGCGTGATGAGGGGAAAAAACAATTTAATCAATTTTAGAATAAGGCTGTAACTTAACAAAATGTAGAAAAAGTCAAGGGGTCTGAACACTTTCCGAATGCACTATATATATACATACATACATACAGTACATGTATGCACGCACACAAACAACACACACCTCTAAGACACACTAAGAGCCTGATTTAGGCCTCCTGTAGCTCAGTTCGTAGAGCATGGTGCTTGCAACGCCAGGGTTGTGGGTTCGTTTCCCACGGGGGGCCAGAATGAAAAACAAATGTATGCACTCACTAACTAACTGTAAGTCGCTCTGGATGCTAAATGACTAAAATGTCAAATGTAAAAATGTACCCAGCAACTTTGGCTTATAATGTTTACGTTGATTCAGGAGAATCAACAGTTCATCTTTCATACTGCAAATCAGTGCATTTTACACAGTCTATTCACCATCAACATCAAAAGTGGAAATCCAACAGACAAGATGAAAACAATAGTCTGGCCTCAATTTTCTACAGTTTCCTTTTTTTACCTGAAGAGGGCAGTGTTTCTATTGGAAAAATCTAAAACGACAACATTTAGTATAGTATAATGCGGTATGCATGTGGGAGCAGCGGATTGAAAGAAGTGAGGAGAGCTTGGAGAGATCCCGCATTTGATTAGTTGTCAAATAACACTGCTGTTATTTCACTTGCTGCACAAGAATATGGTATAGTGTATGTCATCTAGCTTGCATCGTAAGAAATGATGCCACATTTATTTGTAGAGATGATGTAAGATTGAAAACATCAAATCAGTGGATGTGTGTGTGTGTGTGATGAGGGGGGTGGAACTGGCTCTAGAGGGGGGTGATGGGCACATCTCCCCATCATGTCACTACCAATCAAATCCCAGTGGTTAGACTGGGAGTCATACAATGATGGGAGACGGAGCGAGGTGGGAAGGAGGGAGGAGAGATGGATACAGGCAGACAGGGGAGGGGAAATCATATTGTATCAGAAATTAAATACAGTTAAATATTACACACACATAAAGACAGAGGGAGAGAGACAGAAAGGGAAGACTGAGCAAAATAGGAAGCAGAAGAAGAGGAGGAGGAGGAAAAGGAGGAGAGGAAGCCAGACATACAGAAGAGCAGCCTAGGGAGGGGGAGAAGTGAGAGAAGGAAAGAAAAGGGAGGGAAACGGACTGATAGCCCATCCCTCCCACCAACCCTCTTTTCCACATGGCAGCATCTGCCTGCATATAGAGTTCAGAGCCTAATGGAGGGGAGCTAAGTCCATGGCCACTCAGCGGATAAACGTCAGTGTTTCTCAGAGAGAAAGAGAGCGATGGAGACCGGCAACGCTGCATGGTTGCTTTTGTGGGATGTGTTCAGGCAGAAAGACAAAGGGCCATGGTGGTGGTGGTGGCCTCTCTGACACAGAGCACAGTGACTTATAATAAATAATAAATGACTTCAGTCAACTTAACCTTCAGTCATTTAACGCCACCACCACTACCCAGCATATTACTGGATCACCCCACTGTAAATACAGGGAAAGATGACTATCTAAAAACCGCTGTCCTTCCATACTTTATTTTTAATTTTTATTTAACCTTTATTTAACTAGGCAAGTCAGTTAAGAACAAATTCTTATTTACAATGACGGCCTACACCGGCCAAACCCGGACGACGCTGGGCCAATTGTGCGCCGCCCTATGGGACTCCCAATCACGGCCGGTTGTGATACAGCCTGGAATCGAACCAGGGGATCTGTAGTGACACCTCAAGCACTGAGATGCAGTGCCTTAGACCGCTGCGCCACTGGGGAGCCCATACAGGGCTAAAACAATGTGGCTCTTTGACACCCCTATAGCACTTTATTCCAGCACAGACCAGTAACATAACTCAACAACAGACTCCACAAAATGGCTGCCATGAATGTCTTTAATGAGGGCCAACATGTAGCCTACTGCTTCCCAATGGGTCTCCCTTTGGACATTATGGTACATGATCCTTACAGGAAGAGAGGTCTTACTTTTGACACTGAGCTTTTTATTTTATGTTCACCTTTGACATTGGAGAACACAGACATTCCAGGATAAAGAGGGGGATTTCAATTTGACACTGAGGTCCATGTATAAAGCCATGAAAGATGGGGGTCTTCAGTGACTTACTTTTGACGTTGAGGTACATGGACTTGCTGACGTCAGCTCCCACATCATTGCTGACCTTACACAGGTAGTAGCCGCTGTCCTCCTCCAGCACGTGTTTGATTAGCAAAGAGCCGTTGACCAGCACCTGGATACGGAAGCCTGAGTTCAGGGCTATAGGCTGGAACTGGGGAACCCCTGCACCTGGGGAGGGAGGGAGATAGGGAGAAAGGGAGGGGTGGATGGAGGGAGAGAGAGAAGGAAGGGGAGATATAAGATGTTTTAAAAACACCCCTTCCATGGTTCTTGATCAAATGATGAGAAATTATTACATAATGGATGGATGTTTTGCGTCAACAAACATTACAGTACATTTCCTTTTACTCTGTTATCGTAATGTGAGAAGCTGTTGCTCTCCTTTCTTTATCTTACTGTTGGTTTAGAGTTACAGTACAGTGCTGCGCTTTCACCATTCAACCTCAAGGCTGTAGACACTGTGTTTGCTGTGTTAGCTCTCAAACGGATGCTCTTCAATAAAAAAGCTTGCAGTAGAACACACAATGTTGTGTTTACGCAATTCAGCAAGATAGTCAGAGGACTAGAAATGGAAGATGCACAGTTACAAAATAACTCTGTTCTCCTCAATCATGAACCCAGTGTGTAAACAGATCATCATAGTGGTCAGAAGGGAGAAGAGTAGCTTCTAATTAATCCTGGGATGTGTTCAGCAGGGTACACTGTACTGTAGCAAAACGTTTTGCAACGGAAAATGAAAATATGTGTTCTAATTGGACAAGTTCAGGCAGTACCGCACCATTTCACTCCATGTCAAGACATTTACTCTACTAAACACAACCCTTGTACACAGAGTGTACAAAACATTAGGAACACCTGCTCTTTCCATGACATAGGCTGACCAGGAGAATCCAGGTGAAAGCTATGACCCCTTATTGATGTCACTTGTTGAATCCACTTCAATCAGTGTAGATGAACGGGAGGAGACAGGTAAAAAGAAGGATTTTCAAGCCTTGAGACATGGATTGTGTTTGTGTGCCTTTCAGAGGGTGAATGGCACACATTGAAACCTTTTTTTTCCTTTTTCTTTTTTTAAGGGGTAGATCAGCTTTAATATTGCAGAACAATTGTGGCTTTCATCAATGTAATTGTCTGCATCATTTCCAATCCCCCATATATATTTTTTTGGGGACAAGTCTCTGAATTTCCTTGAGTGTCCCAGCCAGAGCCCGGACTTGAACCCATTCGAACATCTCTGGAGAGACCTGAAAATAGCTGTTCAGTGACGCTCCCATCCAACCTGACAGAGCTTGAAAGGATCTGCAGAGAAGAATGGGAGAAACTCCCCAAATACAGGTGTGCCAAGCTTGTAGCTTCATACCCAAGAAGAATCGAGGCTATAATCGCTACCAAAGGTGCTTCAACAAAGTACTGAGTAAAGGGTCAGATGACGCAGATGCTAAGCTACAGGACTGTTTTGCTAGCACAGACTGGAACATGTTCCGGGATTCTTCAGATAGCATTGAGGAGTACACCACATCAGTCACTGGCTTCATCAATAAGTGCATCGATGACGTCATCCCCACAGTGACCGTACGTACATACCCCAAACAGAAGCCATGGATTACAGGCAACATCCGCACTGAGATAAAGGGTAGAACTGCCGCTTTCAAGGAGCGGGACTCTAACCCGGACACTTATAAGAAATCCCGCTATGCTCTCCGATGAACCATCAAACAGGCAAAGAGTCAATACAGGACTAAGATTGAATCGTACTACACCGGCTCTGACGCTCGTCGGATGTGGCAGGGCTTGAAAACTATTACAGATTACAAAGGGAAGCACAGCCGCGAGCTGCCCAGTGACACAAGCCTACCAGACGAGCTAAACCACTTCTATGCTCGCTTTGAGGCAAGCAACACTGAAGCATGCATGAGAGCACCAGCTGTTCCGAATGACTATGTGATCACGCTCTCCGTAGCCGATGTGAGTAAGACTTTTAAGCAGGTCAACATTCACAAGGCCGCAGGGCCAGACGGATTACCAGGACGTGTACTCCGAGAATGTGCTGACCAACTGGCAAGTGTCTTCACCGACATTTTCAACATGTCCCTGACTGAGTCTGTAATACCAACATGTTTCAAGCAGACCACCATAGTCCCCATGCCCAAGGACACTAAGGTAACCTGCCTAAATGACTACCGACCCGTAGCACTGACGTCTGTAGCCATGAAGTGCTTTGAAAGGCTGGTCATGGCTCACATCAACACCATTATCCCAGAAACCCTAGACCCACTCCAATTTGCATAGCGCCCCAACAGATCCACAGATGGTGCAATCTCTATTACACTCCACACTGCCCTTTCCCACCTGGACAAGAGGAACACCTACGTGAGAATGCTATTCATTGACTACAGCTCAGCGTTCAACACCATAGTGCCCTCAAAGCTCATCACTAAGCTAAGGATCCTGGGACTAAACACCTCCCTCTGCAACTGGATCCTGGACTTCCTGACGGGCCGCCACCAGGTGGTAATGGTAGGTAACAACACATCTGCCACGCTGATCCTCAACACGGGGGACCCTCAGGGGTGCGTGCTCAGTCCCCTCCTGTACTCCCTGTTCACCCATGACTGCATGGCCAGGCACGACTCCAACACCATCATTAAGTTTGCCGACGACACAACAGTGGTAGGCCTGATCACCGACAACGATGAGACAGCCTATAGGGAGGAGGTCAGAGACTTGGCCGTGTGGTGCCAGGATAACAACCTCTCCCTCAACGTGACCAAGACAAAGGAGATGATTGTGGACTACAGGAAATAAAAGAGGACTGAGCACGCCCCCATTCTCATTGACGGGGCTGTAGTGGAACAGGTTGAGAGCTTCAAGTTCCTTGGTGTCCACATCACCAACAAACTATCATGGTCCAAACACACCAAGACAGTCGTGAAGAGGGCACGACAAAGCCTATTCCCCCTCAGGAGACTGAAAAGATTTGGCATGGGTCCTCAGATCCTCAAAAAATTATACAGCTGCACCATTGAGAGCATCCTGACTGGTTGCATCACCGCCTGGTATGGCAACTGCTCGGCCTCCGACCGCAAGGCACTTCAGAGGGTAGTGTGTACGGCCCAGTACATCACTGGGGCCAAGCTTCCTGCCATCCAGTACCTCTATACCAGGCGGTGTCAGAGGAAGGCCCTCAAAATTGTCAAAGACTCCAGCCACCCTAGTCATAGACTGTTATCTCTGCTACCGCACGGCAAGCGGTACCGGAGCACCAAGTCTAGGTCCAAAAGGCTTCTCAACAGCTTCTACCCCCAAGCCATAAGACTCCTGAACAGCTAATCATGGCTACCCGGACTATTTGCACCCCCACCCCATCTTTTTACGCTGCTGCTACTCTGTTAATGATTTATGCATAGTCACTTTAACTCTACCCACATGTACATATTACCTCAACTACCTCAACTAGCCGGTGCCCCCACACATTGACTCTGCACCGGTACCCCCCTGTATATAGCCTCCCTACTGTTATTTTATTTTACTTCTGCTCTTTTTTTCTCAACACTTTTTTGTTGTTGTTAATAATATAATATAATATGCCATTTAGCAGACGCTTTTATCCAAAGCAACTTACAGTAATGTGTGCATATATTTTTACGTATGGGTGGTCCCGGGGATCGAACCCACTACCCTGGCATTACAAGCGCCATGCTCTACCAATTGAGCTATTTTTTATTAAGAAATAAATGCATTGTTGGTTAAGGGCTGTAAGTAAGCATTTCACGGTAATGTCTACACCTGTTGTATTCGGCGCATGTGGCAAATAAAATTTGATTTGATTTGATTTGAATACTTATGTAAATGTAATATTTCCGTTTTCTTTATTCTTTTTTTATTTGCAAAAAAAATCTAAAAATCTGTTTTTGCTTTTTCATTATGGGGTATTGTGTGTAGATTAATTGAGGGGGAAAAACAATTGAATCAATTTTAGAATAAGGCTGTAACGTAACAAAATGTGGAAAAAGTCAAGGGGTCTGAATACTTTCTGAAAGCACTGTATTTTTGTCAGCTGCATTTCTGACATAATTCCACCAGTCCTATTTATAATATCATTTACAAAGATGATATACAATTATATAAAATGTAAAAACAATTATGTTTTTTTTTAATCAATTACTATATTTGAGTTTAACCACAATATTTATTTTATTATTTGTTCTGTCTTTTCTGGTGGATGAAACTGAAATTGCAACCAACTTTCTATGATTTGTTTAAAAATAGCGATATTTTGGAGATTATTTCCTTTTCAAATAACCGAAAGTGAGAGGTTGTAATCTGAATAAAGCGAAAAAGGCAATTCTTGAACATGGGGTGAGACATTCTTACTAATCTGCTAGAAAACCAGTTCGAATTTAAGCATAACTTTTGTATGACTGACGCCTTTAGTGAGAGGTCTAATGCTTTAATATTTAATCATTTCTGCCCTCTGAATTCATATTCATTATATAAATAGGCCTGTTTAATTTTGTCTGGCTTGCTGTTCTAATTCAAATTGAATATTTTTAGCTCATATAATTTAAAAAAACAGGTCGCTAGGTGTAGGCAAGACCATAAGCAAATAGGTAAACTGGGATATGACTAAAGAGTTAATCAGGGTGATTTTTCCACAAATAGACAGGTATTTTCCTTTCCATGGTAGCAAGATCTTATCTTTTTTTGCTAACTTTCTATTAAAATGTATTGTAGTGAGATAATTTCTTTCTTTCGGGATATGTATACCGAGTATGTCCACATCACCGTCAGACCATTTTATTGGTAAACTACACGGTAATGTAAAAGTTAATTTTTTTGTGATCCAATACGTAATATAGTACACTTATCATCATTTGGTTGTAAGCCAGAGAGGTTAGAAAAAGTATCTAGATTCTCTATGAGGCTGTGGAGGGATCCAAATTGTGGATTTAAATGAAAACATGAATTATCAGCATAGAATGACACCTTTGTTTTTAAGCCCTGTATTTCTAACCCCTTGATATTATTGTTGGATCTGATTTTAATAGCTAACATTTCGATGGCCATAATAAATAGATTTGCCGATAGTGGAAAACCTTGTTTTACTCCTCTTAACAGTTTAATACTTTCCGAGAAGTAGCCATTATTTACTATTTTACACCTAGGGTTACTACTATACATAACATTAACCAATTGTATAAGAGATTCTCCAAAATTGAAATATTCAAGGCATTTATATATAAATTCCAGTCGTACTTTATCAAAAGCCTTTTAAAGTCAGCTATGAATACCAGACCTGGTAAACCAGATTTTCATAGTGTTCTATTGTTTCCAGTACTTGTCTTATATTTACATTTACGTTTTAGTCATTTAGCAGACGCTCTTATCCAGAGCGACTTACAGTTAGTGAGTGCATACATTTTTTTTTTTTCATACCCCAGTGGGAATCGAACCCGCAACCCTGGCGTTGCAAACGCCATGCTCTACCAACTGAGCTACATCCATGCCGGCCATTCCCTCCCCTACCCTAGACGACGCTGGGCCAATTGTGCGCCGCCCCATGGGTCTCCCGGTCACGGCCGGCTACGACAGAGCCTGGATTCGAACCAGGATCTCTAGTGGCACAGCTAGCACTGCGATGCAGTGCCTTAGACCACTGCGCCACTCGGGAGGATATTATCTCCAATGTATCGTCCATGTAAAAAACCTGTCTGATTAGGATTAATAATATCCGACAATACCTTTTTTAATTCTATGCACTATGCATTTTGCTAGAATTTTTGCATCACAACACTGACGTGTAAGGGGCCTCAAAAAATTTTAATGGACTGGATCTTTACATTTACCACTTGGACCTGTTTCAGTAATAATGAAATCAGACTTTCTTGTTGAGTATCTGATAATCTACCATTTTTATAGGAGTGATTAAAACATGCTAATAACGGTCCTCTGACTATATCAAAAAAGGTTTGGTATACCTCTACTGGTATGCCATCCAGCCCTGGAGTTTTCCCAGACTTAAAGGCTTTAATTGCATCAAGAAGTTCCTCCTCTGTAATTTGGCCTTCACATGAGTCTTTCTATACAGCTGTTAATTTTACATGAATAAAAGTGGAGATGGAGGAGACAAACGAAAACATATGCTTAAAGTACTTTGCTTCCTCTTTCAAAATATTGTTTGATGAATCATGGGTGACTCCGTCATTTGTAACAAGTTTCAGTAAATTATTTTTTGTAGCATTTCTATGTTAAAAATTAAAAAAGAATTTGGTGCATTTTCCCCCATATTCCATCCAATTCGCTTTATTTTTATAATACATTACACTTGATCATTCTTGAATAAGTTCCTCTATGGTACACATTGAGACCTTGTAGAGTCCATGCCTGACAAATTGAGGCTGTTCTGAGGGCAAAAGGGGGTGCAACTCAATATTAGGAAGGTGTTCCTAATGTTTTGTACACTCAGTGTATATTGTGGTGCTATTTACCTTTGGAGTACTTCCACACTATGGTAGGGACGGGGTATCCCTCTGCGGAGCAGTTGAGGATCACAGCTTTCCCATAGATGCCGTCCTGGTCCTTGGGCTGCACCACAAACTTGGGAGGGACTAGTTAGGAGAGGAACAGAAAAAAGGTAATTTATTAACACTGATTATACTGTTATGGTGTTTTAGTATGAGTTTGTAATACCTTGTGGCTTAAATAGCACAAATTATAAATTATATATTTTCACACCAAGTGTAAGAAAAACAAGACAAGCCAACGCTAACGTAGGTTAGCATATTAGCAGGGTTGGGGTCAATTCCATTTAAATTCCAGTCAATTCATAAAGTAAACAAAATTCCAATTCCAATTTTTCCTAATTGAAAAGCATTGAAGAGAATTGGAAAAGGAATTTCAGTAGCCTTTGTGAATTGACTGGAATTTAAATGGAATTGACCCCAACCATGCCTTCAGTAGTGGAATAAGTGGCATCTCACATCACAATATTAAAATATTAAGATTACAGTAAAACAGCATGTGCAACGCTGCTATTGGGATTAGGGTTATATTTTGTTTAAGCATATCGTTTTGCCAGGTTTTCTTATGCTATACCCAACATAGGCCTAGTGGTAGGTTGATTTGGATCCACTCCAACTGTAGGGGAACACATGAAGAGAGTTTAATCTAGCAAAATACTTGCAAAACTAGCAAATACCTTCTAGACTCATATCTTTGAGTAGGGTCAAGCCTTCTCGCCCCTTTTCCCCCTCTCCCCACCCTCCCTCCCCCATCACCTCCCTCTATCCCCTTCTCACCCCTCTCCACATACTCCCCCCTCCCAGCCTACTTCCCACCTTTCTCCGTCCCCTTCTCACCCCTGACGATGAGCTGACTCTGGTGTTCCACGATGGCGGCCTGGTTGCGTGCGATGCAGGTGTAGTTGCCATTGTGCAGGAGAGACAGGTTGGAGATACGCAGGGAGCTGGTGAAGTCTATGTTGTCGATGGTTACGCTCAGGCTGGCCGGAATTGGCCGACCGTCCTTCTGCCAGGTGATGAAGACAGGCTGGTCACCTGACATCACCACACATGGAATGAACACACGCTGGCCGATGGAGAAACGAGGGAACTCGAAGGGATGGATGGTGGGAGGAACTACGGGAGAAAGAGAGGGGTAGAGTTAAGGTAAGGGTATTTAAAAATCTCTAAAATCTCTAAAAGCAAGGATTTAACTCAGTTACTTCTATTTGTGTACCACTGTAAGTATAGCAGGTGCCATCCTGTGAAACCCCTGTGAAAATATTTCACATCCAGTCTATCACCTTATTAATAGCATGGCTTAACACAGTGGAGATGCAGGTGAGAGAGAAAATGATTATATTTCCCATTGCGGAGAGGCAGAATTCTCACTGAAATAACACGCATATGCCTGACTGCATAAGCATGGCTGTGGTCTCCCTCTCCCTCTCTCTCCTGGGACACCGTAGACATCGTGAGAAACAGATTCTTTGGAGAATTAATGATTTAAAATAACATTGGAATAAGCAGCACTTCAGCGCTTATTTAATTCACAACAAAGTAGGCATAATGGGCTCCTGGGGATTCCCTCTCCTCTCCTCAGCCTCGGAATGCTAAGCAGCCGAGAGGCAAATTAGGCAGAGTGGGAATGACAGTGTTCCCAGCTTTGTCTAGGGCCACAGCCAGCATGATTTCCACCGCCTTGCACACTCCTTAACGTGGGGGCGGCGCCGAGACCCATGAGAGGGGATTCCGATTATGCAGCGTCATTATTGAGGGAAGACTACAGAGCCATTTGAAGTTATGTACTGGGAGACTGGCACAGCGGCTGTGGATGTTCAGATCAGCTCCTTTACACTGTTAGTTATAGGAGCCATACCTTTCACTGATTGTGGCAGACATTTGTAACGTGCCTATACCAAGGGCTGTAACGCACCAGATCCAGCAAATCAAGGTCCTGATGAGCAGCTAATTAGTAGAATCACGTGTGTTAGATGATGCTTGGAGCTAACAGGTAGCTCTAAAGGTTGGGGAGCCCTGGGTTATATATTTAACTGAGTAGGGCAGAGTGAGACCAGGTTTGAGTGTGTACTGTACCTTTCACACTGACGTGCACACTTTGGCTGGTGGACAGAGAAGGCGAGACCAGCACGCTACACGTGTACTCTCCCTCATCCACATCCTTCTGTACATCGTACAGCTTTAGCGTGCCATTGTTCTCAAACGCCCGCTGCCGGTGGTTATAGGGGAGCAGGTTGGCGTCCTTGTGCCACTTAATGGAGTAGTACGGGTAGCCAATGACGCGGCAGTGGATATACATGTCCCGCCCAGCAATGGCGGTAAGGTTTTTCATTGGTCGTATGCTGGCAGGCCCTTAAAGGAGACAGAAGAGAAATACCTCTCTTAAAATGATTTTGAGGCTAAGAAATGTGAAACTTTAGAAGTGTGAGATGTTGAAGTGTGTCAAAAACCATGGATACAGACAGTGATTCATTCTGAAAGACAAAGGAAACATTTATTGGGGATTGTAACATATTAAAACAATATCTTCCTCAGTGCCTGACTACTATATCCTACTGTGGATAATAGATTAGAATAATATAAACACCTCTTTTCCCTGTAATTAGTAAATAAAGGGCAAGAATGTACATAAATGAACAGATTTTACAAAAATGAATACTTCTCTATTATAGAGCAGTGCTCATTTATGTAAAATCTTGCCATTTATTTCCTATAATAGTCTTATGAAATAATAGCAATATAAAATCACCTCATCCTGGGACCTATCCATAGCTGAGTGTTCCAGAGGGGGTCTACCTACCTTCCTATTTTAAACTCTCTGAGGTGAAGTGAATATTATTATACTGTTCTAGCACCTGCTAGACGCCAGCCATGATTGCGTTTGACAAGCATTGGAGTGCAATGTTCCCACTCTCCACTCATGAACCTATTATCAAAACCATTACTCATGTTCCCACGCTCTCTCTTTCACACTACTGGAAAACCAACAGCATATATAACAATATGATTCCATATTGGATACTGGATATTTTACATACTGTAGATCAGTGTTTCCCAACCCTGGTCCTCCAGTACCCCCAACAGTACACATTTTTGTTAGTAGCCCTGGACAAACACACTTCATTCAGCTCATTGAGGGCTTAGTTGACAAGTTGAATCAGGTGTGCTTGTCCAGCGTTACAATAAAAATGTGTACTGTTGGGGGTACTCGAGGACCAGGGTTGGAAAACACTGTACTAATCTACAGTTGGATACTGTAGCTAGATACAGTGCCTTCAGAAAGTATTAACACCCCTTGACTTTTTCCACATTTTGTTTTTACAAAGTGGGATTAAAATGGATTTAATTGTCTTTTTTTCTTAACGATCTACACAACATCCTCTGAAATGTCAAAGTGGAAGAAAATTCTAACATTTGTAAAACATTTATAAAAAAATCAAACACTTCTACACTACCGGTCAAAAGTTTTAGAACACCTACTCATTCAAGGGTTTTTCTTTATTTTTACTATTTTCTACATTGTAGAATAATAGTGAAGACATCAAAACTATGAAATAACACATATGCAATCATGTAGTAACCAAAAAAGTGTTAAACAAATCAAAATATATTTTATATTTGAGATTCTTCAAATAGCCACCCTTTGCCTTGATGACAGCTTTGCACACTCTTTGCATTCTCTCAACCAGCTTCACCTGGAATGCTTTTCCAACAGTCTTGAAGGAGTTCCCACATACGCTGAGCACTTGTTGGCTGCTTTTCCTTCACTCTGCAGTCCGATTCATCCCAAACCATCTCAATTTGGTTGAGGTCGGGTGATTGTGGAGACTAGGTCATCTGATGTAGCACTCCATCACTCTTCTTCTTGGTAAAATAGCCCTTACACAGCCTGGAGGTGTGTTGGGTCATTGTCCTGGTGAAAAACAAATGATAGTCCCACTAAGCCCAAACCAGATGGGATGGCGTATCGCTGCAGAATGCGTTGGTAGCCATGCTGGTTAAGTCTGCCTTGAATTCTAAATACATCTCAGACAGTGTCACCAGCAAAGCACCCCCACACCATAACACCTCCTCCTCCATGGTTTACAGTGGGAAATACACATGCAGAGATCATCCGTTCACCCACACCGCGTCTCACAAAGACACAACGGTTGGAACTAAAAATCTCCAATTTGGACTCCAGACCAAAGGTCACATTTCCACCGGTCTAATGTCCATTGCTCATGTTTCTTGACCCAAGTAAGTCTCTTCTTATTGGTGTGCTTTAGTAGTGGTTTCTTTGCAGCAATTCGACCATGAAGGCCTAATTCACACAGTCTCCTCTGAACAGTTGATGTTGAGATGTGTCTGTTACTTGAACTATGTGAAGCATTTATTTGGGCTGCAATTTCGGAGGCTGGTAACTCTAATGAACTTATCCTCTGCAGCAGAGGTAACTCTGGGTCTTCCATTCCTGTGGCGGACCTCATGAGAGCCAGTTTCATCCTAGCGCTTAATGGTTTTTGCGACTGCACTTAAAGAAACTTTCGAAGTTCATGACATTTTCCGTATTGACTGACCTTCATGTCTTAAAGTAATGATGGACTGACGTTTCTCTTTGCTTATTTGAGCTGTTCTTGCCATAATATGGACTTGGTATTTTACCAAATAGGGCTATCTTCTGTATACCCCCCCCCCCCCTACCTTGTCACAACACAACTGATTGGCTCAAACGCATTAAGAATGAAAGACATTCCACAAATTAACTTTTAACAAGGCACACCTGTTAATTGAAATGCATTCCAGGTGACTATCTCATGAAGCTGGTTGAGAGAATGCCATGAGTGTGCAAAGATGTCATCAAAGCAAAGGGTGGCTATTTGAAGAATCTCAAATATAAAATATATTTTGATTTGTTTAACACTTTTTTGGTTACTACATGATTGCATATGTGTTATTTCATAGTTTTGATGTCTTCACTATTATTCTACAATGTAGAAAATAGTAAAAATAAAGAAAAACCCTTGAATGAGTAGGTGTTCTAAAACTTTTGACCGGTAGTGTAGAAGTGTTTGAGTCAATACATGTTAGAGTCTCCTTTGGCAGCGATTACAGCTGTGAGTCTTTCTGGGTAAGTCTCGAAGAGCTTTCCACATCTGGATTGTGCAACATTTGTATATTATTATTTTCAAAATTCTTCAAGCTTTGTCAAATTGGTTGTTGATCACTGCTAGACAACCATTTTCAGGTCTTGCCCTAGATTTTCAAGCAGATTTATGTCAAAACTGTAACTCGGCCACACAGGAACATTCACTGTCTTCTTGGTAAGCAACTCCAGCGTAGATTTGGCCTTGTGTTTTAGGTTATTGTCCTGCTGAAAGGTGAATGAATCTCCCAGTGTCTGGTGGAAAGCAGACTGAACCAGGTTTTCCTCTAGGATTTTGCCTGTGCTTAGCTTCATTCCATTTATTTTTTATCCTGAAAAACTCCCCAGTCCTTAACGATTACAAGGATACCCAATTAAAAAAAGAAATAAACATTAATTGTTTGCAAGAGGCTGAATGTATCTCACCGGAGAAAGCATCCAAGCCTCTCTGTCTCTGTATGTGTAGCCCACTTTTTCTCCCCAATTTCGTGATATCCAATTACGATCCAATTACGATCTTGTCTCATCGCTGCAACTCCCCAATGGGCTCGGGAGAGGCGACGGTCGAGTCATGCGTCCTCCGAAACATGACCCACCAAGCCGCGCTTCTTAACACCCGCTCGCTTAACCCGGAAGCCAGCTGCACCAATGTGTCGGAGGAAACACTGTTCAACTGACGACCGAAGTCAGCCTGCAGGTGCCTGGCCCGCCACAAGGAGTCGCTAGAGCACGATGAGCCAAGTAAAGCCCCCCCGGCCAAACCATCCCCTAACCCGGACGACGCTGGGCCAATTGTGCGCCGCCCTATGGGACTCCCGGGATCGAACCCCAGGCTGTAGTGACGCCGCAACACTGCAATGCAGTGCCTTAGACCGTTGCGCCACTTGGGAGGCATAGCCCATCTTTCTGATGCTGTCTGGTCAAAAATAGTATGATATTGTTGTCACCCGTAGTATTGAATGCAAGGGAAGCCATCAACCATTTGGCCTCCCTTCATAAAAAAATACAATAGTAGCCAATCAGCGTTGAGCTAAATTGATTGAGCTCAACTGTGAGTGGTCCTGGTTCACCCAAAAAAAGTGTCAAAGGAAGCCAGTTTGGATTTGGCTACACAACAATCACATCACATCAAGCCAAAAGTAATTTGACAGAAATAAACTTGAATTGTTGCATCTCGTTGTGTTGTCTCCGGTGGCTAGCCAGCTAGCAAAAATTGTCCCTTTCCTAAATTAGCCATGGACGGAGATAGGGATTTGGACTTGTGGTTTTACTTAATTCTCCGTACTGGCCAAGTATTATAATGGCAATTCTGATCCAACCGTAAATTCATACATTGTGCCTCTGGCCTGAGAGGATGGAAGTTCAATATGTAGCTAGATGTTGTAGGCTAATGTTAACTAGCTGGCTAATCATTGCCCATGAAAGGAAGTTTGGCTAGCGAGTAAGCAATTTAGCCAGGTAGCCGAGGACAACAAAAACTAAAAGCGTGTACTTTATGACAGAGTCGACCGTTACTGCAACATGAAAGAGAGGAGGATGCCATTGGCGTTTCTCTACAAGTAGGGTGAGTCAACATGTTTTCTCTACACACAGACACACACAAATCAGTACCATAGACAGCCAAATGATATTTAGCTTACGTTGATTGGACTAAATAGTTTTTGGAATCTTTTAGTTGTCACTGTATTAGACTAAGCATATATGATTTAAAGATGTTGAAATGTTGAAGTTGAAATGGTGCTGGAATAGTAGAGACAGCTCCTGTTTTCTTTGTGACTTGCGCAAACTCTCCAGTGGTCTAAATCAAAAGTTGTTTAGTTGTCCAAAAATGTCGGAAACATTATTATTATTTTTTTTTTTTTTATTTTTTTTTTTTTTACTTGATTTTTTTTTACTTGATTTTTACTTGATTTTTTTTTTTACTTGATTTTTTTTTATTAACTTGATTGACCATGCTGTAGGACATGTAACTGTTTGTTACATGCAATATGCTTTGCTGACTCCACCGGACAGATGTTGCTCTCCAGTTTTGTGATGAAACAAAGGTGTGGTTGAATTTATTCTGCCACTGTGTCGTCTTATTGTATTGGCCTTAGGCCTATATATCACAGTGGAAAGGCATATGAACCAACAGGTTATACATTTACATTTACATTTACCTTTACATTTTAGTCATTTAGCAGACGCTCTTATCCAGAGCGACTTACAGTTAGTGAGTGCATACATTATATTATTATTATTATTATTATTATTATTATATGGGTTATAGAGCAAACAACGCAATTATCACAAGACTGGTTGTAATGTGGCTATTGTTTTTCAGCTTGGCTTTCCCAGTTATTTTACCCCCGCACCGCTACTGATGGCAACTGAGTTAGGAAGGACGCCTGTATCTTTTGTAGTGATTGGGTGTATTGATACACAATCAAAAGTGTAATAAATTCACCATACTCAAAGGGATATTCAATGTCAGCTTTTTTTTTTTCATCTACCAATAGGTGCCCTTCTTTGTGAAGCATTGGAAAACCTCCCTGGTCTTTGTGGTTGAATCTGTGTTTGAAATTCACTGCTTGACTGAGGGACCTTACAGATAATTGTATTTGTGGGGTATAGAGATGAGGTCGTCATTCAAAAATCATGTTAAACACTATTATTGCACACAGAGTGAGTCCATGCAACTTGTTATATGACTTGTTTAGCAAATGATTACACCTGAACTTATTTAGGCTTGCCATAACAACTGGGTTGAATACTTAATGATTCAAGATATTTCAACTCTTCATTTTTTGGTAATTTGTAAACTTTTCGAAAACAGAATTCCACTTTGACATTATGGGGTATTGTGTGTAGGCCAGTGACAAAAAAATCGTAATTTAATCCATTTTAAATTCAGGCTGTAACACAACAAAATGTGGAAAAAGTCAAGGGGTGTGAATACTTTGAAGGCACTGTCGAATAGAAGAGAGTTTAACTAAATATGTGGTGGTGTGCACCTCTAGTGCACTGCGCAGGCATCCACACTGCTACTCTCTTTAGCATGATTAAGGAGCCAACAATGCGAGAAACAGTCATTACACTGTCTCCGCAATGGCACCTGGGAAGATTTATCTTCTATGCTCTGCGCTAGGCTAGCTAGCCTACTGAACTGGAGACTTTAGCATCCCTTCACTAAACATGGTGCTTTCCAGTAGGGTTGTCATGATACCAGTATCGCGTTACTACGATACCTGATTTTCCATGGCAAAAAGGAAAACACAAAACAGACTAAACTCTTTGGTCCTTTGCAAAACCTACTCTATGTAAAATAGTGTGTGCTATAGTTTGGAAAATAAATGTGATTCTAGGTGACAACATAAGGTTGCTTGTTTCCAACATTAGGACTGTTTTCCTCAGGAAATGTTGTCCGCTTCATGATTTGTTTCCTTGCCGCGATACCTCTGAGTATCGCCATACTGGTATCGTGACAACCCTACTTTCCAGGGGGCAAACAATCAAAAGGAGTTATCCAATCCATAACACAGACCATAGGCCTATCCTTTTCTGTTTTGAATTAGCATTAAGTAGAGGATGGAGGGCCCGGAGTCTCTAGATAGACCCCCAGAAACCATGGTGACAGTCAGTCCTAGAGTAGCTGGCTTTAGAGCTGCCTGGCACCTCCCTGCTGAGTGTAGAATGCTCCTCAGTCATATGCTAGTGCTAGTGTAAATCAACTTAATGGTGTCCCAATATCAAGCCATCAGCGGGTGTTAGATAGGGCATTAGAGAAGTTACCGCTGACAGCAGTGAGTGATGATCGCAGCACTATACGAGCCCCTAGGAAAATTTGCCATGTTCTGAATAGGAAATGAAAGCAAAAGGAAAAAAGATGAGGACAGACAGACAGGGGAACTAGTTGACACAAAGAGACCCACATCGACACAGACAGAATGACAGTTGGGGAAAACAGACCAGATAGAAACAGACAAACACACATAGACACACACCCAGACACAGACACACATTTACACACATACATATTTGTGTGATGACATACGTAAACAAAACAAGAAGGAAAGAAACAAACAAATGGTGCACAACTAACACGGCACACACAGAACACACACAACCAACATAGAGACCCTGGAAAGAGCTCAAAATAGGTTATTCAGGCACTCTCAAAGGAGCTTAGCAACAAAACAAAAACATGCATCAGGAAAAACAACAAAAACAAATGAATTCATAAACATGTGTAAAATGTAATTGTTTTGGAGGAGCTGATCTGACAAGCACCTCTTACGTTTATTCGCGCCTGGTAGGAGACTGCCCCGGCCGAATTGTTGCAGATGCACCGGTAGACACCCCCGTCCGGCCCTGTGGTCTGGCTGATGTTCAGGTGGCTGACCACGTGGCCCTCCTGGTTGGTGTAGTGGCCGATGCGGTGGCGGGAGTCCCTGATCACCGGCTCGTCGTCCAGCGTCCACGTCACCCTGGGCTCCGGCGTGCCTTTCACCGTGCAGAACAGTGACACAAACTCGTTGGTTCCAAACACTTTCTCACTGAAGGAGGAGATGATCTTGGGCGTGCCATCTGGAGAGAGGGGGAGAGGGAGACAAGATGGGAGGTGGGTTAGAGCTAACAGTGTTCTTCTGTTCGATGGGAGGTGGGTTAGAGCTAAAGGTGTTTCTTCTGGTAGATGGGAGGTGGGTTAGAGATAAAGGTGTTTATTCTAGTAGATGGGAAGTGGGTTAGAGCTAAAGGTGTTTCTTCTGGTAGATGGGAGGTGGGTTAGAGCTAAAGGTGTTTCTTTTAGTAGTCACATCAGGTAGCCTAGCGGTTAAGCGCGTTGGGCCAGTAACCGAAGGTCGCTGGGTAGACTCCCCGAGCTGACTAGGTGAACAATCTGTTGATGTGCCCTTGAGCAACACACTTAACCCTAATTGCTCTTGTAAGTTGCTCTGGATAAGAGCGTCTTCTAAAACAAATCAAATCAAATTTTATTGGCCACATGCGCCGAATACAACAGGTGTAGACATTACAGTGAAATGCTTACTTAAAACCCTTAACCAACAGTGCATTTATTTTTGAATAAAAATGTAAAATAAAACAACAACAAAAAAGTGTTGAGAAAAAAAGACCAGAAGTAAAATAAAATAACAGTAGGGAGGCTATATATATAGGGGGGTACCGGTGCAGAGTCAATGTGCGGGGGCACCGGCTAGTTGAGGTAGTTGAAGTAATATGTACATGTGGGTAGAGTTAAAGTGACTATGCATAAATAATTAACAGAGTAGCAGCAGCGTGAAAAGATGGGGTGGGGGGGCAGTGCAAATAGTCCGGGTAGCCATGATTAGATGTTCAGGAGTCTTATGGCTTGGGGGTAGAAGCTGTTGAGAAGTCTTTTGGACCTAGACTTGGCACTCCGGTACCGCTTGCCATGCGGTAGCAGAGAAAACACTCTATGACTAGGGTGGCTGGAGTCTTTGACAATTTTGAGGGCCTTCCTCTGACACCGCCTGGTATAGAGGTCCTGGATGGCAGGAAGCTTGGCCCCAGTGATGTACTGGGCCGTACGCACTACCCTCTGTAGTGCCTTGCGATCGGATGCCGAGCAGTTGCCATACCAGGCGGTGATGCAACCAGTCAGGTTGCTCTCGATGGTGCAGCTGTATAACTTTTTGAGGATCTGAGGACCCATGCCAAATCTTTTCAGTCTCCTGAGGGGGAATAGGCTTTGTCGTGCCCTCTTCACGACTGTCTTGGTGTGTTTGGACCATGTTAATTAGTTGGTGATGTGGACACCAAGGAACTTGAAGCTCTCAACCTGTTCCACTACAGCCCCGTCAATGAGAATGGAGGTGTGCTCAGTCCTCTTTTTTTTACTGTAGTCCACAATCATCTCCTTTGTCTTGGTCACGTTGAGGGAGAGGTTGTTATCCTGGCACCACACGGCCAGGTCTCTGACCTCCTCCCTATAGGCTGTCTCATCGTTGTCGGTGATCAGGCCTACCACTGTTGTGTCATCGGCAAACTTAATGATGGTGTTGGAGTCGTGCCTGGCCATGCAGTCATGGGTGAACAGGGAGTACAGGAGGGGACAGAGCACAGACCCCTGAGGGGCCCCCGTGTTGAGGATCAGTGTGGCAAATGTGTTGTTACCTACCCTTACCACCTAGGGGCGGCCCGTCAGGAAGTCCAGGATCCAGTTACAGAGGGAGGTGTATAGTCCCAGGATCCTTAGCTTAGTGATGAGCTTTGAGGGCACTATGGTGTTGAATGCTGAGCTGTAGTCAATTAATAGCATTCTCATGTAGGTGTTCCTCTTGTCCAGGTGGGAAAGGGCAGTGTGGAGTGCAATAGAGATTGCATCATCTGTGGATCTGTTGGGGCGGTATGCAAATTGGAGTGGGTCTAGGGTTTCTGGGATAATGGTGTTGATGTGAGCCATGACCAGTCTTTCAAAGCACTTCATGGCTACAGACGTCAGTGCTACGGGTCGGTAGTCATTTAGGCAGGTTTTCTTAGTGTCCTTGGGTACGGGGACTATGGTGGTCTGCTTGAAACATGTTGGTATTACAGACTCAGTCAGGGACATGTTGAAAATGTCAGTGAAGACACTTGTCAGTTGGTCAGCACATGCTCTGAGTACACGTCCTGGTAATCCGTCTGGCCCTGCGGCCTTGTGAATGTTGACCTGCTTAAAAGTCTTACTCAAATTGGCTACGGAGACCGTGATCACATAGTCATCCGGAACAGCTGGTGCTCTCATGCATGCTTCAGTGTTGCTTGCCTCGAAGCGAGCATAGAAGTGGTTTAGCTCATCTGGAAGACTTGTGTCACTGGGCAGCTCGCGGCTGTGCTTCCCTTTGTAGTCTGTAATAGTTTTCAAGCCCTGCCACATCCGACGAGCGTCAGAGCCGGTGTAGTACAATTCAATCTTAGTCCTGTATTGACTCTTTGCCTGTTTGATGGTTCGTCGGAGGGCATAGCAGGATTTCTTATAAGTGTCCGGGTTAGAGTCCCGCTCCTTGAAAGCGACAGCTCTACCCTTTAGCTCAGTGCGGATGTTGCCTGTAATCCATGGCTTCTGGTTGGGGTATGTACGTACGGTCACTGTGGGGACGACATCATCGATGCACTTATTGATGAAGCCAGTGACTGATGTGGTGTACTCCTCAATGCTATCTGAAGAATCCCGGAACATGTTCCAGTCTGTGCTAGCAAAACAGTCCTGTAGCTTAGCATCTGCGTCATCTGACCACTTTTTTATTAACCGAGTCACTGGTGCTTCCTGCTTTAGTTTTTGCTTATAAGCAGGAATCAGGAGGATAGAGTTATGGTCAGATTTGCCAAATGGAGGGCGAGGGAGAGCTTTGTATGCGTCTCTGTGTGTGGAGTAAAGGTGGTCTAGAGTTTTTTTTCCTCTGGTTGCACATTTAACATGCTGGTAGAAATGAGGTAGAACGGATTGAAGTTTCCCTGCATTAAAGTCCCCGGCCACTAGGAGCGCTGCCTCCGGATGAGCGTTTTCCTGTTCACTTATGGCCTTATACAGCTCATTCAATGTAATGCAAGGTGGGTTAGAGCTAAGGTGTATCTTCTGAAAAATGGCAGGTGGATTAGAGCTAAAGGTGTTTCTTCTAGTAGATGGGAGGTGGATTAGAGCTAAAGGTGTTTCTTCTAGTATAGTGGTTCCCAACCAGGGGTACCAGGACTTGGTACTTGGCCTATCCATAGGGGGTACTTGAGAAGACCCATGAGACCATAGGCTTAAAATGCACATGAGGGGGTACTTCAGAGGTACTCTGGGCAGAGCAAAATTAAGTTGGTGGTACAGTAACCACAAAAGGTTGGGAACTCACTGTTCTAGTAGATGGGAGATGGGTTAGAGGTACAGGTGTTTATTCTAGTAGATGGGAGGTGGGTTAGAGCTAAAGGTGTTTCTTCTAGATACAGATCTAAGGTCAGATGCATTTTCTCCCCCTAAAGGTTCAATTGGATTTGAAGGTGAGGTTTGGGTCAGCTGATCCTAGATCTGTGTCTACAGACTATTTCTACCCGGAGTGTATACAAAGAAGCAGCGCATTAGCTGACAATAAATCAACATCAATGTTTAGCAGATACAGTAATTCACAGACTTTAATTCACATGCATTGAGGGACCCATATGGAAGAAATACGAATAATATATTTACATTTTTTTTAAATACATTTTAAATACATTCCAACATATATTCTGGAATGTATTTAGAATGTATATATAAATGTATGCCAAATGTATATCCCAATATATGTTAAATGCATCGCAAAATGTATTTAATGTATTTCAAAATACATTCTAAATAAACTAAGCAATGTATTTTAGAATATATTTTCACATGTACAGTTGAAGTCAGAAATTTACATAAACCTTAGCCAAATACATTTAAACTCAGTTTTTCACAATTCCTGACATTTAATCCTAGTAAAAATTCCTTGTGTTAGGTCAGTTAGGATCACCACTTTATTTTAAGAATGTGAAATGTCAGAATAATAGTTGAGAGAATGATTTATTTCAGCTTTTATTTAATTCATAGGCGGCAGATAGCTTAGTGGTTAAGAGCGTTGTGCCAGTAACCGAAAGGTCGCTGGTTCTAATCCCCAAGCCGACTAGGTGAAAAATCTGTCGATATGCCCTTGAGCAAGGCACTTAACCCTAATTGCTCCTGTAAGTCGCTCTGGATATGAGTGTCTGCTAAATGACTAAAATGTAAATTTCATCACAGTACCAGTGGGTCAGAAGTTTACATACACTCAATTAGTATTTGGTAGCATTGCCTTTAACTTGGGTCAAATGTTTTGAGTAGCCTTCCACAAGCTTCCCACAATAAGTTGGGTGCATTTTGGCTCATTCCTCCTGACAGAGCTGGTGTAACTGAGTCAGGTTTGTAGGCCTCCTTGCTCGCACACGCTTTTTCAGTTCTGCCCACACATTTTCTATTGGATTGAGGTCAGGGCTTTGTGAGGCCACTCCAATACCTTGACTTTGTTGTCCTTAAGCCATTTTGCCACAACTTTGGAAGTATGCTTGGGGTCATTGTCCATTTGAAAGACCCATTTGCGACCAAGCTTTAACGTCCTGACTGATGTCTTGAGATGTTGCTTCAATATATCCACATAATTTTCCTTCCTCATGATGCCATCTATTTTGTGAAGTGCACCAGTCCCACCTGCAGCAAAGCACCCCCACAGCATGATGCTGCCACCCCCGTGCTTCACGGTTGGGATGGTGTTCTTCGGCTTGCAAGCAACCCCCTTTTTCCTCCAAACATAACGATGGTCATTATGGGCAAACAGTTCTATTTTTGTTTCATCAGACCAGAGGACATTTCTCCAAAAAGTAAGATCTTTGTCCCCATGTGCAGTTGCAAACCATCGTCTGGCTTTTTTATGGAGGTTTTGGAGCAGTGGCATCTTCCTTGCTGAGCGGCCTTTCAGGTTATGTCGATATAGGACTCGTTTTACTGTGGATATAGATACTTTTGTACCTGTTTCCTCCAGCATCTTCACAAGGTCCTTTGCTGTTGTTCTGGGATTGATTTGCACTTTT